AGGCTCGTGGAGGACCTTATCAATGTGTATAAATATCTGATGGGAGGGGGTAAGGAAGACAGAGCCAGACTCTTCTTGGTGGCATCCAGGGAAAAGATGAGAGGCAATAGCCACAAATTAAATTACAGGATATTCCTTTTAAACATAAGAAAAAATGTTCTTACTGGGAGGGTGGTCACACCCCGTAACAAGTTGACACAGAGGTTGTGCAGTGTCCATCCAAGATATTCAAAACCCATCTGGACGTGGCCCTGGGCAACCTGCTTTAGTTGACCCTAGCAGGGAGCTGGGACTAAAATATCTCCACAGGTTCCTTCCAAACTCTTCCATTCAATGATTTTGTTTGTACATAGATTGTTTTTCAGGTTGTATTTTTCTTAGGATGTATTGAATCTCCTTGAAGTTTTTGATTTTATTTGTATGTGTATGTTTTCTAGGTATTCGAAGAAAGAAGAGTTCTGCTTGGAAAATGGGTAAACTTTTCTCTTTATATATATATATTTAAATACAGTTAGATTTCTGAACTGATGAAGAGATTACTATAATGGGAATGTAAAAACTATCCTATTATGAAAAAGGGGTTCATTTTCCTGATGTGAAAGTGAGCTGTAACTGCGCTACTTTTGAGGAAGGTAAAAGTATAAATTCCCTCAGTACCCACATCCTGTAAGCTCTGAACTTGGGAAATCATATTCCATCATCAGAATGATCTGAAATGGGATAAGAGACCTGGGTAAAGCCTGTGAAGTCTTCAAAGAAGATATTGGGTGTTTAGGTGTTGCCATTGCCTGCCAGCAGGTCTTTGAAACCTGTAATAAATGACATGTTATCTACCAAGTGCACGCATATGGCTCCTGTAATCATCGAGCACCTCACAATTTCTTACTGTCATTATCTTCAGAGCTCCAACATGAGACAGGAGAGTGCAGTCGCTCTGTTCTGCAGGTGAAAAAATGAGGCACAGAAAGACATGAGATAGGATATTTCTGCCCCAGCCACAAATGATTGCAGAATTGGACATTCAGGATGGCGTTCCTCTGGCCGGGTAAGTAATGCTGAAACATCAGATTTCAGCCTGGCTGCTTTGGCCATGACAGGCTCCTGGTACAGCCAACAGAGACAAAGCGCTACTTCCAGAGGATAGTTCGTCTCGCTTAATGTAGGCTAAAACAACAGCCCCCCAGGGATGCCCGTTTCTTCCCATAGCCTACGAAGGGAGTCATAGCTGGCTCTCGTGAGACCCCACCTGGAGGCCTGCGTCCAGCTCTGGAGCCCCCAGCATAGGAAGGACATGGATGTGTTGGAGCGGGGCCAGAGGAGGCCACAAAGATGATCTGAGGGCTGGAGCACCTCTCCTGCGAGGACAGGCTGAGGGAGTTGGGGCTGTTCACCCTGGAGAAGAGAAGGCTCCGGGGTGACCTTAGAGCATCTGCCAGTACCTGAAGGGGCTACAGGGGGTTCAAGGCCGGGTTGGATGTAGCTGTGAGCAACCTGGTCTGGTGGAAGATGTCCCTGCTGATGGCAGGGGGGTTGGAGCCAGATGAGCTTTAAGGTCCCTTCCAACCCTTATCATTCTATGATTCTATGAATGCAGCTCTCATAGATCTACCCAGGAAGCTGATGGCAGAGCATGAGTCTTAAGCTCACGCTTTAAATATCGCATTTTGTTTTTGCTTTTATAAGACAAAATCCATTCACAGGCCATTATGGGAAAGCAGCCATAGTCTGCTCGGTCTCCTATGCAAACAGGAATCCAGACTCAGGGACTTTATTACAATAAATGAGTGAATTCAGCTGGCTGTATTCATGTGACTTGGTAGTAACTGTATGGCTGAGCCCTGCGCACATCTTTACAAATGGAACCAAAGCACCAGTTAGGTTGTCACATGTGATACACAAGCTAAACAGAATTCATACAATCATATAATCATAGAATGGCTTGGGCCAGAAGGGATCTTACAGACCATCTCATTCCACCCCCCCTGCCATAAGCAGGGACCCCTACCACCAGCTCCATCCAACCTGGCCTTGAGCACTGCCAGGGAGGGGGCAGCCACAGCTTCTCTGGGCAACCTGGGCCAGGGCCTTGCACCCTCATTTTAAAAAATTGCTTCCTTATATCCAGTCTAAATCTACCTTCCCTTAGTTTAAAACCATTAGTCCTTGTTCTGTCACAACAGGCCCTGCCAGCAAGCCTGTTCCCATGTTCCTTATAAGGCCCCTTCAGGTACTGGAAGGCTGCAGTAAGGTCTCCCCGCAGCCTTCTCCTCCCCAGGCTGAGCAGCCCCAGCTCTCCCAGCCTTTCCTCCCAGCAGAGGGGTTCCAGCCCTCGGATCATTGCTGGGGCCTCCTCTGGCCCCACTCCCACATCTCCAGCTCTGTTCTGTGCTGAGGGCTCCAGAGCTGGACGCAGGACTCCTGGGGGGGTCTCAGCAGACTATATATATATTGTATATATCTCACCAAATATAGATGCTCCTTATCAGCGCTCTTGGATAAAGAGTATCTGCACAGTAACTTTGTTTGAACTATGATGCTTATTCTTGATGCCTGATAGCTCACTTGTGGAAATTTTTTGCATATGGATTGGTCTTCACAGACAAGTATTTTGATTTTAAGCTCATAAAGATTATTCATCTTTATAGGAAATATGCTTTCCGTAACTTGTTGACATGCATGCATTTTGATAATAAGAAATTTCGTGGACACCAAGAAAACAAAATATTTGAGTGATTATTGTTCAAAAAACACCTCTCAGCATGATAGTCAGTAACTGACAGATCTAAATCCTGTCTCTGGAAGACTGTTGGATGTTTTAAAATGCCCATGGGATATACCATCGAAAGAGTAAAAATGTTTTCCTCAGAACACCCACTGAACAAGCCAAAATCTGGAAACAACCTTCCTCCAAACACACAGAAGATTGCTGAATCATCTTCTGAAAGGTTACATTTCTAACCCATCATATGACACTAGATCAGCAGCTCTCGTCATGCTCCGTCAGAGCTAATTGTCCTTGTGCTTCTGCCATCCATCACACCAATGAAAAGGGCGCAGAAAGCACAAAAGCTGCCCTTAACTCCCTTCAAAGCCTGTGGCATTGTGATAGCTGGTATGCAAAGCCTAGAGCGCTCTGCGTTTGAGAGAAAGCCTGCCAAGAAATCACAGTGCTCTGGGCAGGACTTTTTACACCGATTCACATGGCCCTCTCAAAGTGCTCGCAGGAAGCATGGACTAGACGAAACTGCTGAAGGGTGGGTTTGTGTGGCTGGGAACCCACGTTCAGTGTAGTTGTGAATGCTTTGTTATGAAAATGGAAGGCTGAAGTCTGTCCTAAGTCCAGAACTGTTAAATGTCTTTAGTAATATCTGGCTGACAGAATGGAAAGGTGATTCTGCCCCTTTACTCTGCTCTCGTGAGACCCCACCTGGAGTCCTGCGTCCAGCTCTGGAGCCCTCAACATAGGAAGGACATGGATGTGTTGGAGCAGGTGCAGAGGAGGCCACGAAGATGATCCGAGGGCTGGAGCACCTCTCCTCCAAGGACAGGCTGAGGGAGTTGGGGCTGTTCAGCCTGGAGAAGAGAAGGCTCCAGGGTGACCTTAGAGCAGCTGCCAGTGCCTGAAGGGGCAACAGGAAGGATGGAGAGGGGCTTTTCACAAGGGTGGGTAGTGATAGGACAAGGGGGAATGGCTCTAAACTAAAAGAGGGCAGATTTAGATGAGATATTAGGACGAAATTCTTCCCCATGAGGGTGGTGAGGCCCTGGCCCAGG